AGGGAACCAAACAACTGTTTCTTGAAGTGCCCTTCTGCATCATCAGCTTCTGTCCACACAGAGGCACAGTCATCATGCAAACTGCGCAAAGGATCATGGGAGCCCGAAGTGTCCATCAGTTGTACCCTTCGAAATCCTTCATTCCGAAGGGCCCTTTGAAGTGGCCAGTTTTGAGCACTTCGGTTTGGAACTACCCTTCAATATGGCGGCCATGATTGTTTTCACTCCGAAGTGCCCTTCGGAGGGCGATATATCTCGTTTGGAATGCACCGCTAGTCTTGGTGTTAGTAGACCTAGTATTGGTGTTTGTCTAAAATATACACTACCAATAAAAAGTTTGGGGTTTGTAATTTATTTAATTTTTTATTGATTTATTTTTTGGAAGAAGTTTCTTTTGCTCAAACTATTTCATCAAAAAATACTGTGAAACATTACCATTTTAAAAGAATTGTTTGATATTTGAATATATTTTAAAATGGCATTTTTTTCTTGTGTTGTAAACGCTGAATTTTCAGCGTCACACGATTTTTCAGAAATCATTCTAATATGCTGATTCGCTGCTCAGGAAACATTTCTTGCCATTAGTAATGTTGAAAACAGTTGTGCTGCGTAAAGGGCTAGTTCACCCAAAAATGAAAATTCTGTCAATAATTACTCACCCTCGTGTTGTTCGAACGCCAGCGTGTGGTGGCGCTGACCCAGATCCGGCGTAATGACGTCATCACGGCGGATCTGGATCAGCGCCGGCGCCGCCACACGCTCGCATCATGATACTGTCATGAACGCGCGTCCACAAGTGACGCAGTAGAGACGAAAATGTGGAATAAAGTCGTTATTTTTGTTTTCTTTGTGCAAAAAAGTATTCTCGTAGCTTCGTAACTATACAGTTGAACCACTGATGTCACACGGACTACTTTGTCGATCATCTTGGTACTTTTCTGGACCTTGAACATGGAAGTTACCTTGCTGTCTATGGGAGGGTCAAAGAGCCTTCAGACTTCATCAAAAATATCTTAAATTGTGTTCCGAAGATGAACGAAGGTCTTACGGGTTTGGAACAACACGAGGGTGAGTAATTAATGACAGAATTTTCATTTTTGACCCTTTAATATGTCTGTGAAAACCATGATTATTATTTTTTTCAAGATTCTCTGACAAATCTTTTGTAACATTATAAATGTCTTGCAAATAAACTGAAAGTTAGTGTGAATTTGGTAGATCCAACTTAAAAATATTGTTTTTCAGTCAGATATTTACCAGAAAACCAGTACAGTAATATAAACAGTATTATCAACAGTTCAGTATCATATTTTTTTTAATATAAAATAAAAGGAGAGGGTGAGGAATGTTCAGAAATTCATACATGGGCAAACAAACAGGTGTGAGAAATCAAAGCGTAAACGACGTAAACAGCGTGTCCGCGTGGCAAGGGTCTTACGGGTCTTACGGGTTTGGAACAACACGAGGGTGAGTAATTAATGACAGAATTTTCATTTTTGACCCTTTAATATGTCTGTGAAAACCATGATTATTATTTTTTTCAAGATTCTCTGACAAATCTTTTGTAACATTATAAATGTCTTGCAAATAAACTGAAAGTTAGTGTGAATTTGGTAGATCCAACTTAAAAATATTGTTTTTCAGTCAGATATTTACCAGAAAACCAGTACAGTAATATAAACAGTATTATCAACAGTTCAGTATCATATTTTTTTTAATATAAAATAAAAGGAGAGGGTGAGGAATGTTCAGAAATTCATACATGGGCAAACAAACAGGTGTGAGGGGTGAAAGAGTATGTTGTTCACGTCCGCAACCACAGATAGCCTCCCTTCAGAAATGTTCACCTGTAGAGTTGGCAGAAGGACACTTGGCAGTTTAATCATACAGAACAGATACATCTGCAAAAGAATCACTCCGAATGACTCGCTCCACTGGTTCTCAGTCGTGTTTGTTCAGGATTAACTCCATATTAAGCAGCTTCAAAGTGTTTTTTTGTGTAACATTGTCTATGAAAGAGCTCTGGCTCACATCTGCCCATCACTGACTCGTGTCAGGATCCAATTGTCAGTTTTTCCATCTGATTTGCTGAAGTAACAACAACAAAAAAAAAAGAACAAAAATTACTTCACGCAAGCCCAATATTGCATTGTTGCAATGCAATGAAGTGACCTGTAGAAGACACTGATAAATTACTGTAAGATGTTTCTCAAGATTTTTCCTTAAACCTACTCGTACTACACTGAATCAGAAAATGACTCAAGAGTGGAGGCTCACTTCCTCTTACCGCATTATTGAGGAGTTCCTGGATCTTCCTGTATTCGGGCGAGTCTCGTTCCAGCTTCTCTCGGTACACAACAAGCTCCTGCCTGTCCTTCAGGTCTCTGTATGTCTGAATGAACAAAACAAATGCAGTGATTTACACTGAGAAAGACTGAGAAACACTTCGAGGATGAACTCACATTGATGACGATGTCATGGCATTTATATTTCAGAGCCACACTGAGCTTGAGCTCTGGGTCGTCGATGAGGTTCACATACTCCTGCAGCACCTGCAGATCACGGGAAAGCACAGTGAAGTGCATGCTGGGATGGGAAGTGAGCAGGTTTATTACAACATGGAAACTGACGTACATTTACAGGGGCGCTGTTCTTCTGCAGGATGTCCACCACTCTGTGAAAGCCAATGGGAGATCTTTTCTTGGTGTATCCTAGCCAGTTTTTGGTGTTGAACAGACTATCCACATCAAACCAGGATTTCAACTTCGCTCTTGCACCAAGAGCCATGAGAATATACTGCTTTTCTGAAATCTGCCACAGCAAACATGAATGGTTTAGAAACTCTTTCCCATAGACTGTTATTACAGACTCGCACATATGCTATGTATACACTACTGGTCTAGACACACTTGAATGAATTTGTGTTTCTAATGACTGTAGAAACATCTAAAGGTGTAGGTGTTTGTAGACAGATATGAAAACTACACGATAAAAGTTATAATCAAGATGAATTTGAAGAATCCAAAATATATGATAGTCCTGATTTGTCTAAAGTTTTTGGTCACTTGACAATTCCCACACTTCTATTTGTGTTATTTTATAGTTTTGATGATTTTACTATTGAAAAAAGTAATGGTAAAGAATGAGTTAGTGTGTCCAGACTTTTCATGGTGCTGTAAGTTGGTAACTATTAAATACAAATTTAATTAAATACAAATAATTTGATAACAAATGACTGTTTATTTTACCCGGAAAGTTTTTCTAATGTTCGAAGGGCTGCTAAAAGTTCCCTGTGGAATAAAAAATGACAATTATTGAAATACAGTTGCCCAAAACGTATCTGGACATTTAAACAACACTTTAAAATGTGTAAATATCAAACCAGGTGACATTTATAGCACTTTTCAACTTTTAAAAAATCAAACAATGAAGCTGGTTAGGTTTCAGATTACAAATCAATAGGTATATTGTTATTTTTAAGTTTCTAAAAGCTCTCTTAAGCGGTGGGAAATAATATATACAATAAAAAGAATTATTCCAATTAGTAAATGATTTACTAAATGAAAAAGATAAACTTACTATAATACAATAATTACAAATATTTATATAATTACAGTATACATTACTTTTCAAAAGTTTTTGAAAAAAAAATTAACACTTTTATTCAGCAAGGACAGATTACACTGATCAAAATGACAGTAAAGACATTTATAATATTACATGTTAATGTTTCTATTTTAAATAAATCCTGTTTTGAACTTTTTATTCATCAAAGAATCCTAAACAAATGTATCTCACGGTTTATAAAAAAACATTAAGCAGCACAAATGTTTTCAACATTGATAATAATGTTTCTTGAGCAGCAAATCAGCATATTAGACTGATTTCTGAAGGATCAAGTGACACTGACTGAAGACATTTTAAAATATTTTCAATAAGAAAACATTTATTTTGTTATAATATTTCACAATATTACTGCTTTACAGTATTTTTTTTATCCTTACCATGGTGAGACTTTTTAAAACCAAAATCTTTCTGACCGCCAAACTTTAGAATTGTAGTGTATATTGTAATACCAATCCAATCTCACGGCAATTCATACATGTTTTATGAGGTGGCTAATTCGCACGGTTTGTGAACAAATCGTACATATTTTACGAGGTGGCAAATTCGTAGGAATTCGTATGAATGACCACCCCAACCCCGTCCCTAAACCTACCAGTCACAGAAAACGTATAAAATTGTACAATTGAGGTTGTATGAGTTCGTACAAATTAACCACCCTGTAAAATATGTACGAACTGGTCATGAGATAACATTGGTAATACTTGATGATACTACAGTTCTAGATTATATATGTGACCCTGGACCACAAAACCAGTCATAAGGGTCAAATAAATCATCTGAACACTGAATAAATAAGCTTTCCATTGATGTATGGTTTGTTAGGATAGGACAATATTTGGCCGAGATACAACTATTTGAAAATCTGGAATCTGAGGGTGCAAACAAATCTAAATATTGAGAAAATCGCCTTTAAAGTTGTCCAAATGAAGTTCTTAGCAATGCATATTACTAATCAAAAATTAAGTTTTGATATATTTACAGTAGGAAATGTACAAAATATCTCCATGGAACATGATCTTTACTTAATGTCCTAATAAGTTTTGGCATAAAAGAAAAATCAATAATTTTGACACATACAATGTATTTTTGGCTGTTGCTACAAATATACCCCAGCGACTTAAGACTGCTTTTGTGGTCCAGGGTCACATATATAGTAATATATTCAGTTTGTTTAAATAATATTTTACAATATAGTGGAGAAGTGAAACGTGATCTTGTACCTCTGACTCTCCGTAATGGTAAAAGCAGGAGTAGTACAATGTGGTGATGATTGGCATATTAAGGATGGATGCTTTTCTAGGGAACTTCTTAAAGATTTCTGCATCTGCCTTCTTGTCACTAGCCTGTAAAAAAAATAAAAAATAAAATACATAAATAAAAAAATACAGTGAACACACCAATTGAATGAATTGATAAACCCTAACATTAGGATATTTTCTTCAGAAAGTCATTTTCTCATGTCTGATAAGTACTTAGTCCTTAGGCCTGCTTCACACATCCTGCGGTTGTGCCACATATTCATCTCAGCGCTCATATTAAAAGATTTAGAAATTCACACTGCACGTGTGAGAAGCGATGCACTGTGTCCCAGATGCAACAATGACAGTCAAGTTTCTGAGCTCAGCTTATTATATTTGCCAAATATTATGAACACAGCAGAAAACACAGTGAAAATGCACTACAAACTATTTTATCAACACAATCTTGTGTAATACAGGATGTATGAAAAAACATATTACAATGATAACTAATTTGCCATTGTTAGAAAAAAAGGAAAAACTTGCTTCATGCAAGTAACAAAAATAATTTATATTCAGTAAATCTGTACATTTTATTATCTACCATGTTATTAACCTAGAAATCCCATTATTTTCTGCACTGAGCCATAGTGAGCGGAGACAGAAAAGGTGTGATGTGTGAAACAGAAAATACAGGTCAAGAGTGAAGACCTTGCTTTCTAACAAGACTATATTCACATTATACAGCTGACTGATGCAAACTGAAACTCACTTGTTCATATGTGCTATTAAGCCGTAAGAATAAAGCGAGCACAACTTTTCACTTGTTTCATAATAAAGGAAACATCTGCCATGTAACCCAATTTGAGAGAAGTCCATCCGTCTGGCTTCCCTCTGTACAGAGAGACCCGTCACCTACCACACCACCCTCAGGAAAGAGGAAGAGTGACGAGGTGCACAGGAAATATCTCGCATGGCAAGGTGTGGCAGACATAGACAAACTTTGTGTCATTTTTTGACGTTAAAAAAACCCCCACTTGTATCTTTGTTTAATATACAGAGAAAAGAAGTCAGCGCTGTCATGGTGTCTTTTTCCTTAAGGTGACATTTGGGATGGGGTCTGGCATTATTTTTCCAATTCCATTTGCTAGCAGTACAGAAATTATTGTACTACATTATATTACATAGTTATTACATATTATTATTATGTAGTTGTAGTATATTACAATACTACATTAACCAGTAAAGTGTTTCAGTTATTCATATACTTACACTTCCAGTCAAAGGTTTTTCACACCTTTTGGTTTTCATGATCTTAAAAAACTTGAAACATAATTTTCATACTTTCATTAGTGCCATTTCAGTGTCTTGACTATTATTCTAAAATGTGTGAATAATAAACAGTAGTTTATTGGTTGGACTCCCTCACCTCTATGATTATTTGTCTCTCGAGGAGTGTATAGTGGTCTTGAACGTGAGTGGCATCGTCTTGAGAGAAAGGAAGGCTGAGAACAAACAGAGAGATGACATAGATCATTAAAGGTCAGCAGGAGATGATTCTGAACTCTCTACTGAACTCCTCTGAAAGATCTTTACCTGAGGCAACTTTTGAGGAAGTCTCTTCTTCGGCCTTCATCCTTAATATTTAAGTGTTCTTTGTATTGCATCAACTGTTTAAAATACAAAGGAAGCCAGTTTAACATATGTGTGATCAAACAGAAACATTACTACAACTTACTGAAGAAAAACAATTGGTAATATTTTGCAATAAGGTTCCACCAGTTAACATTACATTCACACATTTAGCAGATGCTTTTATCCAAAGCGACTTACAAATGAGTCAAATGAGTAGTTAGTTAACTACTTTAGTTCAAATGAAATGAAAACATACTTTTAAAGCATTTATTAATCTTTGTCAATGTTAACTCCAACATTTACTAATACGTTATTGAAATCAAAAGCTGCATCTGCTAATATTACTTAATGAATCTGAGCTAACATGAACAGTTGTATTTTTATTAACATTAACGAAGATGAATAAATACTATAGCAAACCTATTTATTGTAATGTTACCAAAAAATTGTACTACAATGTTCAACTTCCTCTCTTTTCACTTTTATTCAAGACAAATAATGTCAATGAGGCAAAAGCAGAAAAGTGTTCATTTTGTTAAGGCCATTTTCTTCCTCTTTTCACTTCTTTCTGCTGACACTAACCCTCTATGATTATTGCTACAAATATACCCGTGCTACTTAAGATTGGTTTTGTGGTCCAGGGTCACATATGACCTGGAGATGACATTGCTATATAGGGTTAAATATATATGGTCATGTGTGTACAAGCCGTGAGTATAATGACAGTTGAGTGTGTAAGTGCAGTTAGTACCTACCGCCATATCTTCTGTCCTGCCAAGAGCCCTAAAATATAGTCAGGTGACCAATGTGATAAAGACAGTTATTCAAATAAACACACAACAAGCCAACTCTTCAAATCAAATAAGCAATGCTAATATATGGAGAGATGCCAACCGCCCTCGCACAAAAACACTATACTACAGCGAGAATAAAAGTAAAGCCTTCTTTCTTTGTGTGAACATTTGGGCGGTGTTATGCAAATCTTCCCACATAGTGACGTAGACATGTGGGGGCGTGTTAGAACGAGGCGTTTTAGGAGGGCGTGGACAAGTCTTAACTTTTATAAAGAACATCTCTTTGGATTTGAGACTTAAGTCTTTGTAACTTTACAGATCTTCTTTATGCACCAAGAGCTTGTAACACTCCAAAGAGAAAGGAAAAAATGAAATCGCATCATATGACCCTTTTAAAATTCAGCTTTGTCATAGCAGGAATAAATCATATTTTTAAATATATTCAAATACAAAACAGTCATTTTAAATTGTAAAAATACTTCAAAATATTACTATTTTACTGTATTTTTGCTCAAATAAATGAAGCTTTGAAGAACAAAAACATTTACATTTAGTAGACGCTTTTTTCCAAAGCGACTTACAAATGAGGACAATGGAAGCAATCAAAATCAACAAAAGAGCAATGATGTGAGCAATGAAGTGCTATGACAAGTCTCAGTTAGCCTAACGCAGTACATGTAGCAAGGTTTTGTTGTTGTTGTTTAAATTATATAATAAATAAAAAGAAAACAGATGGAATAGAAAAAGAATAGAGCAAGCTAGTGTTAGAGGTAAATAAGTCTGCAGAAAGCATAAGTCTTCTGAAAACATTTTCAGTCGCGGGACATTTTACAAATCAAAGTAAGTGTACGAGTTTCACTAGCGCTCCACAGGCTGGTGTTCTCCGTCTTTCTTCAACATTAAAAATCTTAACCCCAAATGTTTGAACAGTGGTGTAAACAAACATGTCCATATGTGTTACCTTTCCATTTGACTTGGGCTTTCTCAACTCAGGTGCGTATGTTCTAACAGATGTGTCGCTAAAAGCTAGAAAAGAGTGAACAAACACACTTAATTCAAACAAATGAGAAATAGGCTTAAATCATTCTAAATGCTTCAATGACTTGAACTTACACTCGGAGAAGGACTGGAAAGGTTTACTCTTTGCTGAAGGAATATAAACAGAGTCAGATTGGTGAGTCTAAAATGATTGAACTAAAACGTACAAGAACTCTTCACTATAGATTACCTTTAAACAGGGAGCTCAGGGAGTATCCAGACCCCTGTTTGGACAGTGACGGAGTGGTGTCTATTTTGGGAAAGCTCTGCTCGCTGCCTGAGCGGATACTGGAGGCGGTTTCCTTCACCGACCAAGAGATGCCTACCCACAAACAAAAACTGATGAGCATCCAGATGAAAGACAGACAGTAAAGACAGTAAGAGAGTAGGGAAAGGACTGCATACTTCCCACAGGTTCCCCACTCCAGCTGACTTTCTCAACATCATCCTCATCATCATCATCCACCAGGATGCTGTTCACGACCCGCTTGGACTCTTTCAGCTGGGAAATAACAACACAATGTAGTCTAAATCAGAGCTTTTTAAACTGAGGGCCACACAGTGGTTCTAGAGAAAATGTGCGGACAATGTGAGAGATATATATACAATAAATATTGTACAAAGAATATTGACTAAGAATAGGTCTCTAATCTTTCCTTTCTTACTATGTACATAAATAATGTTTAAAAACAGGTCTATGTGTTGTATCTTTTTTTGCCAATGTCTTCTTTAATTTAGCCAGTTTAATTTAATTCCTTTAATTTATTCACTTTAATTTACTATTTTCTGTAAAGCTGCCACTTAAAAACATACAAAACAACTGACCTGATTTGAAAAAAACGTCCCTCATGTTCTAATACAAATTATATGGTTAATTAAATATGAAAAGCAAATATTTTGCTTTGGATCCGTTCTAACAAAAAGCAAACTATTTAATTTCGCGAAGACGACGTTGTCTTCATAATATTTAACCACATAATATGGTTTTAGGACTGAATGGACCATAAAGTGCAGTTATTCTCCACTGTCATACTGCTGAGGTAAACGGGCGTTGGACTGCATAGAGTTCAATAGAAACACAATGAACTTACCCGTGAAAACTCATCGTCATTATCGTCAAATGTGAACGCTTTAAATTTGGAGCTGTTCCAGTACTCATCATCCTCTGGTTTGGCCCGTGACATCTGAAAAACATACACAATGTAGACTCGAAGCAAGCAGTGGGCTGCAGGTCCCTTGATGTGATTCATCTGATCTGTCCCAGAAGCCCTCAGCTACAGGACACATCCTAGTGAACATGTCACTCCATTCAGGTGAATCTTTATTTAGCAATATGCTGCTGTCATCTTAAACCGCCACTATGGCATTTGAGATTCGCTAAGATTGTCATTTGTAAGAAGTATCCATTTCATATGCATCGATATTATTTTGCTGCTTGGACCATGACAAAAATAAACAGCAATATGATTTTATAACAACGATATAACAGACTTACCTTGGAAATATTACAGTGAAAATCGACTCATGAAACGTCAGATTTTTCCTACTTCCGGTTTTAAACATGTCGCCAAAATAAAAGCCCTACAAACCCTGATTTTTCTTTCCTGCTGTATTTTAGATATGTTATATAGTATGTATTACAAATTAGTCAATAGCGAATTAGCTATATGATAATACAAATTTAAAAACGAATGTAAAAACGCAACTTTTTGAACAAATATTGTCGTTTACATTACACACCTGATTTCAGGTTTTGTTGCCAGTAATTCATGCTAACTTTAAAATGAAATCGTTAAACTTTATTTTTAATTTAATATTTATAGAATTTAAATATATAGTTCTGTACACGTTATTATGCTGCGCATCATTTCCCACTCTCTGCATCCGTCTCTATTATATTTTGTATATTCAAATCTAATCTTAATAAAGTATTGTATTGTATGTTGGCAATTAACTAGTGAAATACAGCGTCATCCCAAAGATTTCGTAATTGCAATTAAAGTCATACCAATGCATCAAATAGTCAAATAATATACTCCAATTCTTGACCAATTATAAAGTGATATCGGTTAGAAAATAAACAGCCAGAAGCAGTGTTTTGCACCCATTAAGAGATAAAAATTAGTTGTTGTTTAAAAAAAAAAAAAAGGTAATCAGTGACTCTTAATCATTCTCAAATGATTACTTACACAAATTACTTACATTTAAAATAGAAACTTTCCAAAAATGTACTTGAACTTGAAGGTTTATGAAATTCTTAGAAAGTGTTCAGACCACTTAAATCTAATAAAGAATTCAAAAAACCCAAACTGCCAAAAGGAAATACATTTTAAAAACACAGGTATTTACTCTTAAGTGTCAGTATTTTCAGTAGTTATTCCCATAAGAAGTGTACACCGTTAATATATGTATGTGTGTGCATTAATTTTGATTCGAAATGCCAAAAAATTCTTTCCATCTAGATACAAATGAGTAAGAGCAGCATTTTCACAAAACGCACAAATTCAACAAAAAAGCACGACAGGTACTCTTTTATTGTTTGTTCAAATTTATGTGGCTAACAAGTCAATAATTACAAAGATTTCAACCTGTGATTCTTTTTTTCTTTTAAAGTAAAAGCAGTAGTGTTCCGAGGATAAACTTCCATCTGATGAAGTGGACAAGTGAAGTATGGGGGAGAAAAAGGAGGTACAGGAAAAACCATTCACACAAAATCATATCCTTAGACTAAAAACGTGTGCAAGTGTCTTACAGTGTTTCAGAAGGGTGGGGGAAAACATAATACATTACCGTCAGCCTCGTCAAAACCACTGAAATGCTTTAGCGGACAGTTTATTACGGAAACGAAAGTTGGCACTGAAGGCACACTCGAGTGATAATGGATATGCCTGCGGATCTTAAGCATGTCAACAAACAAACTCATATCAGCGTCCTGATATCAAACATCATAAACCAGAATCAGAGCATGGCTATGGTGAGATAACCTTATCACATATATATTTTTTTAACTTTCATTTTTAAATAGAGCACACAAAGCAGCAGTAGCAGCTTAAGAGGAACTACTGAAATCCTATGAATAGTAGCTGTGTGCCGGTCTCCTTTGTATTTTTATTAAAACACTTATCTATATGTAAAGTCTTCCTTTTTGTTGCTTTCATTTTGTGATAAGCTGAACTAGATATCTTTGTGGGAAACATCGAAGTTAAAACATGAATATTATAAACGCTGGTTTAAATGCAGAACTTGAGAGAGAAAGAGAAATTACATAACAATAAAAGTGCCCTCTGGTTTGGCTTTAAACCCCGAAGTCTCTTGTCACCGATTTATTGCTCATATGAGACGTTTTCACCGGTCCGTGACGAATCATGTTACTGGTCCAAGAATGTCACAGTTCTATATCGTCCTCAGTTTCTTTCTTCCCGATACACTCCTCTCTTCGGCCCCCTTGATGAGTGTTCCTGATAATATACATTTAAAAACAGCATAAGAAGTCTCTTTTCCCATCAATTTGGTACTTTGAAGGGAAGCTAAGAATCCAGAAGCAATTCTGACACAGCAGATGTAATGCATGTTCATTTACTAAAGTAAATAATAATAATTAAAAAAAAAAACTTGCAGGAGCATGGCATGATATTCAGATTTAAAATAAAATAAAAATCCATCATACTGCTAATCTGACCCAGTTAGTGTAATACCATGACATTTCCACCAGGGGGCTTTTATCTTTTTTTTTTCTTTTGGTGGCTTCGCCTGTGCCTGTCAGCACACACCCAGCACGCTGCTCTTGTGGCGATGGGAGGCGTCTACCCAGCAGCAGGATTTGGGGTAAACCTTTGGCCCTTGTGGTGGATGAGCAGGGTGACTTTTTGTAAGAGTCTTGGCACTTCTTAGTGAGTCCTAGCAGAGCAGATGGATATGGAAGGGCATGTCTAGGGTGTGCGCTGGGTGAAAAAAAGGGAGCTGTCCGTTTTCAGCCGTCCAGGGATTGATCCAGGCTGTCCAGAGTGAGCTGACTGCGGTGGGGAGAGTTGGGGCTCGGGGGGCTGCTGGGGTTGGAGCTGTTGGAGGGGGTGGAATGTTTGGTTGAGTCAGAGTCGGGCTGCAAGGATAAAAAAAAAAATAAGGATAAAGAAACAATTAACAGATCAGTTGCTTGTCTAGTTGGTTTTTAAAATTTTGCACAGTATACATGCATTTAGGCCGAAGTGAGTGTTTACAGCAGTATTATTATTGTTAACTAAAATGTTTTCTGCATCTGAAATAAAGCTGAAATAAAATGTAAATATTATTGAAAAACTGAATTAAGTTCAAGTTGAAGTATTATGATTACTAAACAAAAATAGAATTAAAACAAGAAATGTATTAAATCTTTAAAATTGTTAAAGTATTAAGATTAAATCAATAGAAATAAAGATAAATAGTAAAGCTGAATATTGAGGAAAAAAAAAAATGAGAAAAGCACATAAAATTACTAAATTTCAAACTACAATTAAGTTGAAGTATTAATATTACTAAAACTGAAATAAAAACATTTACATTTAAATATTGGGGAGAAAAGCAATACATTTACTTTGTAAATAAAAATGTATAAATTAAAATGAATACTAAAAAAACACAAAGAAAAGCTCATTCAAAATATTAATACATACTATAATATCATATAAATAAATGAAAGCTAAATAGAAAAATAAAAAACAATTAACACAAAGTTACTAACTCTTATACGAAACTTCAAATGAAAAAAGAAAGCGAATTCAAAATACTATAATAGTATATACATAATACTAAATTAAAAACGAATGACAGCTAAACAGGAAAAAAAAAAACAATAAGAACATACAATTAATAAATCTTATATTAAAATTAAAACTGAAATAATTGATAAATAATAATAAATGATATAATATACTATGAAATACTAAAAGAATAAATTTATACAACTAAAATAACACTAGTTTACAGCTGTAGCAGGTTTTACTGTGAGAACTGGGGCAGTTATTAGACCACAAAATCAGGACACAAGAAAACGGCCAAAAGCACCTCAAAGCTCCTTTAACCATCCATCATGCATCTCGAGAAGCTTTCAAAATGTGGGGCGAATGAAATAAAACCATATTTGACATCCCGGGGGAGGTCATTAAGGTAGATGATTGATGTTTTTACCTCTCTCTCAAAGTCTTGATCTTGATCAGAAATACTGCGAGATGACCCTGCTCCTCCAAAATCTCCTCCTCCTTTAAATAATGTATACATTTCAGGCATTTAGACAATTTTAGGTGTGTATCAGCTTGTCTCTTCGTGTATAAGGAGCGGCACCCACCTGAGGCAGTGCGGGTGATGTGGGTCTTACTCCTCTGTTGCCGTGAGATGCTGGACAGAGGTCGGGGCTTGTCTTTACACAGGTCGTCCTGAGAAGAGGGCATCACACTCTGCAGTAGAGGAACAAGAAGTCAGACACATACAGAGTACACCACAGTCATGCACTTGTGTAATAAGAGGCATGTACACACACTTTTTGACTTTCTTTTAAACTATTGTTAGAACAAACATTTGGTTTGGGTAATACATTTCATGCACAAATCATTTATTTATTTGCTTGCTATAAACCCGAGAATACAACATTTAGTCTTTTTTTCAAGGAATGTTTTGGATTAATTATATGTCAACCTCAATCAACAGCATTTTTGAGCATTATTTGGAATAGAGGTGTCACAATATACCGGTATTGACAATAATCGTGATGTTTAAAAAATTAAATATTGATATGTTAGGACTACATATGATAGTAGTATCGCACAAATAACACAGCTAGTTGCCACTCCAACACGCACGAAAAAAACTAAAAAGACAACGATGCAGTTTTTTTTATTGTTAACCACAAGTATTTAAGTATTCACAAGTAATCATTTATTAATTTAAATAAAGCTGGGATCAAATAAAAATAAATAAAATGTTTGAGTTGAAGTACTAAAATTACTACATAAAACTGAAATATAAATTAAAAGTAAATAAATATAAAAAACAAATAAATGGCAAAAGCACAAAATTACTAAAACCTATAAGCTAAAATGAAAATGATCCTTTTTTTTTAGTGATTCATCAGTCACAAAACAAACACAAAAGTTAGAAATGAATTTGATAGATTAACTTTTTCCCCCCAAAATTTCAATAGATATAATAATATAGTTACTGTAAATTATTTTAAACAAAAGAAATGTGTAGTGAAAATCTGATATTGTGACAGCCCTAATCTGGAAATAATTTCGCATTGAGCAATTGTATCACACTAGTCTCATGCTGAAGTATGAAGTTTCAGTTTAGTGGCAATCTTTTAAAAGTGGTGTATATTTTAATGTTTATTATCATGCCTCACTTTCATGGTAAGAGCCTTACTGTAACTGCTAGTTTACTACAACAGTGTTCGACATTAAAACAGTACAACAAGCATAAAATTCAAATCACACACAAACATTAGTAAAACTGTTGATTTTACTTTTTTTTTTACTTTAAACATTGCATTTTTTTAAATATGACTATATTTTCAAACAAATTTTAAAAGTTCACCCAAAAATGAA